CTGGATTGTATGACAATATGTCTTACTGTGGGGACGGACGTCACAAGTTTCCCGATGAGCCACTGGCAACTCAACTCATCACACAGACACACATGATACCAGTCACGCTGTACGGCAACTCAACTCATCACACAGACACACATGATACCAGTCACGCTGCACGGCAACTCAACTCATCACACAGACACACATGATACCAGTCACGCTGTACGGCAACTCAACTCATCACACAGACACACATGATACCAGTCACGCTGTACGGCAACTCAACTCATCACACAGACACACATGATACCAGTCACGCTGTACGGCAACTCAACTCATCACACAGACACACATGATACCAGTCACGCTGTACGGCAACTCAACTCATCACACAGACACACATGATACCAGTCACGCTGTACGGCAACTCAACTCATCACACAGACACACATGATACCAGTCACGCTGTACGGCAACTCAACTCATCACACAGACACACATGATACCAGTCACGCTGTACGGCAACTCAACTCATCACACAGACACACATGATACCAGTCACGCTGTACGGCAACTCAACTCATCACACAGACACACATGATACCAGTCACGCTGTACGGCAACTCAACTCATCACACAGAGACACACATGATACCAGTCACGCTGTACGGCAACTCAACTCATCACACAGACACACATGATACCAGTCACGCTGCACAGCAACTCAACTCATCACACAGACACACATGATACCAGTCACGCTGTACGGCAACTCAACTCATCACACAGACACACATGATACCAGTCACGCTGTACGGCAACTCAACTCATCACACAGACACACATGATACCAGTCACGCTGTACGGCAACTCAACTCATCACACAGACACACATGATACCAGTCACGCTGTACGGCAACTCAACTCATCACACAGACACACATGATACCAGTCACGCTGCACGGCAATCGTTAGGAAATGTATGTCATAATGGCAGACAGATAGAAGACATGAGTTATGGACATACAGGGGGAAGTCAGTATCCTATCCATTACAAATGATGTTTTGCTTTGCAAAATGCCTTTTAAAAATGGTTCCAGGATTAATCGTTCGCCCTGTCCAAGGCCCGGATTCGATTCCCAACATGGGTACAATTTGTGAGGCCAATGTTGCTGGACTCCTCATCAAGGCTAAAGCTATCTTACGCACTCACAATACGATACATAGAGGAATCATAACACTGGAAACAGCAACTCACACTACTGTAACCGCTCTCTGTCATGTTTTCGAAACAACCTTTTCGCATTACATAAACTACCCCCTCCGTGCTGTGTTGGACCCAGCCTCTGACTAGTCGATCCTCTGGCCACATGATACAAAAGACGTTAAAAGAAGGTAATTATTGTTACCTCGCCTGGCGCTAGCTAATGAGGGGATAAACCAAAGACGGGTCAGCCAGGAGTGTCAGTGAACTATCATAAATATTGGCACTTGTCGGTACAAACACAAGCATCCACTCACACAAGCTGCACGTAACTTTAAACCTCCTTTAAACTTTAAACGTACCATTTGACCTCCTTTGTGTGTTCTCTTCAGTATTCTTCCAATCAAAGTAGTGGAAATACCCTGTGCAGGATGTAGCAGCTAACTAGCTCAAGTGTAAGGTGATTGTTTACGCCTCTTCTTGGAATGTCCCAGTGATGTGCCAAGACTTGCAGTATTGTACGGAAAACCTGTACTTCTTACTGTATTTACCATCCATTTGTGAGTTGCTTCGTGATGCTATGGTTCAAGGGATGAAGCCTAAACTATAACAAACACGGTTTGAATGTTCATTTTATTATTTATGTAAAAATCAGTATAATAATTCATGTGAACAAAAGGTGCATTATTTCATTATCGACCAAAAGTCTCCAATCGGTGCATATTTACCAGCAATAACACTTTGATTCTCACTCGCAACAAAAATAAATAACAACGATATGATTTCAACACCTTTCAACATCCAGGCCTCATCTTCTTCAAATTCACAAACAGTTTGTCACAAAACTACAAAGAGTTCATCACAATACTACCACAAGCAACATTTTCCATTTGGGACATCGGACACCAAGTCTGAGGTCATCACAGTACAATGAGGAAAACACCACTGCCGTGATGACAGTTCATGTAAAAATAGCATCACAATAACAGGACACGGACTACCGAGTTCTCTAACAAGATGTGACATCTCCGGAACTGCCCATGAACCGTCAACAGTCCCATTACTTCTACTGAATACTCTCTAATAATTTCCATATGAAGAGATAAGATAAGGACGCTATTTATCTTTGACACATGGCAACCTTTCCCTTTACTTTGTTGTTCCTATGTGTCAGTGTTTTGTTTACAGGAACAGTTGCCTAGTCTTTGCATGTGTTTGTTATGAGCGACAGATTGGGCAGGGCACGTTCACCTTTACGCGAACACCTGGTGCTATGTATGAAATAGTCAGAATCGTACAACCGAATCAGGTTTTACAAATGTGGCAGATATAGTAAGTGAGTGAGTATGGTTTTACGCCGCTTTTTAGCAATATTCCAGCAATATCACGGCGGGGACACCAGAAATGGGCTTCACACATTGTACCCATGTGGGGAGTGGCAGATATAACAAATTGTACAACGCTTTCATAGTTCAATATTAGGCAGTCCCAGTCATGCTTGCCTTTTGGCTGTTTCACTGAAGATTTTAAAAGATGTAGGCATCGTTCCATCTAAATCTGCCACACTACTGACAAAGACGTATCTACCCGTGTTTGGTTGTCCGCCGAGCTTCATGCGCGTACGGTCAGAATGAACGATTGTTAAATTCTAAACCTCACGCTAACCCCTATTCGGTTTCAAATGAAATTTTCAGGTGTCACATCTGCTCTCGACTGTTATTTTCTCTGACACAGGGCATCACGCGACATTTTCTTTTAAACTGTGTGACTGGTTTGATCTAATATGGACGATCCGACACAGGACTGTTTACGTCAACTGTTGGTCAACTGTTGTTCCACAGCCTTTGCATGTTGGCACGGACAAAGGGTCAACAGAAGACTAATGTAGGTATATCTATGTCGTGACAGATATCCTCTGGTCAGTATCTCCAGTACTTAACTACTTATCTGAGAGACACTTTGAAAATCTAAATGTTTCATTTAATTGTCCCAATACAGGGGGTGGTTTATTCAATAACTACATTTTTGGGAAAAGAGTAGAACCACTTATGGAATCAATTCCATTGTGCTTTGTTTGATGTCAAGACAAGAACATGTCTTTACAGCACCATTTTACACGACCGCCTATGTTATGCAGGCCTACCTATGTACTGTGGAACCTGTGGTTTGAGAGGTCGAACACCAATTCCGAGCAATGGAACCAAAATATTCTGAATATTCGTTGAAGCATCAGCTTAAGATTTTGTAATCTAGTAAACTCTGTCAGTGTTTACAAATCAATCAATAAAAACTACTAACATCTACTCTCATGATTTCGTTTTATGCTCAGTCAATCTGCAAATCCAAGAATGACGACCATTTGTTTTTCAGGAAGATTTTCATAGATGCTTTCCAGCCACCGATGACATCAATCCGTATAAAACTAGACACGCCCACCCCTCTATATGGCAAGCTGCCAGTCACAAATAAAGGCAATATGCATTTCAAGAATGAAATGCTGATAAGTGAACCGAACCTGTGCGCCTGAGTTACCAGGATCGACGTTTGGAATTGACGCTATCAACCTTGATATATTCCCAATATTGCACACTACTGTATAATAATTGCTCCGTGACACGTTTATTGGAAAGTGCAAATATTATTGCACACTTGCACCTTATTGCATAAATATACCTCAAAGGCAACATTGTACATTTAGAGTGCAATTAATCACAATTGCCAAGATCAATAATAAACATGAAACGTCATATTTGCATGGTATTCATAGCACCAAAATGCATTGTTCCGACTGGTGGATGTGCTGACGGTCAACACCGGGTGGTTACTGCACCCAGGGATCTGTGGGAGGACACCTAGCCTTGGGGTACCTTGGTCCGGGGAACCACGCAGTTTGGTGCTATGGTATATGTTCACATTGTTCCAATAACACAATACCATCTGGGATGACGAGTAGGCGCATGGCCATCTGCATTCTACACTGGACATTAGTTCATGAACACATGCTCAGGTGACCTTTGTGGTGGCATCTGATAGTGCGATGTATCCCACTACATGCGATGTAGCCGCAGTTATTGTAGGACAAAGGTTGGACATGAATGATGTACGACAGCAACCCTTGAAGATGACGTTGAAACATGCTTCACACAATTGATACACTAGTTCCACTTGCATAAGAGATAATTAATAATGAAACATAATATTGTATATACATGTAGCTTGTTAGAAACGCTTGAGCTTCAAAAGGGTTCTGAGCAGTTCACAAAAGCCGAAGTAAATGGCTTTCGTCAAATATATAAAGTCAATTGAAAAGTTTCCAGATATAATATGGAACCATATCGATGAACCGATGACGTGAATTATAATATATTTACAGGTATTGCTAACCAGTTTACTGATTGTCATAAATCGATTATGCCATTCACACTATCATTTAGTATATTCGCCTTATATTGAATGGTATCTACAAAATGAAAATAATATCAAATAATTACAAAAATAAGTTGGTAATTTTGTGTTGGAGAAAATGGGGATTTATATATACTGTATGGGACAAACTATGATGCAATATTGGACGATATTACTGCTTTTGATAGTGCCATTGCTTATGTTCCCCAACATACAAGTGTATGAGATTTGGTTTATCCACCTATATAAATCTGTATACAGCTGCTATGCAGTACATACTTTCAGATTTCCACATATCTACTCATAACGGATAATGACTGGAGCGTGCGTGTTTGTTTGTTTGTTTGAAACAGTGTGTGTTTGTTTGATGTGTGTGAGTGTGTGTGTGTGTGTGTGTGTGTGTGTGTGTGTGTGTGTGTGTGTGTGTGTGTGTGTGTGTGTGTGTGTGTGTATATATATATAACAGCATCTTGATCAATCTTCATACCATAAAGATGGTCAGTCACAGAATGACTTCAGGTTGTGTAACTGACGAAGACCACTTCAGCTTCTGTTTTATTTCATTGCTATGTTTTGGTGAAGATGCTGTTACCTTTATCGAGCAAGTGATGGGCCTGCATCAATACTTGTTACTCTATTTGTTGTGGTTGTGGATCTATGGGTTTTGTATGATCTTGCTGTTCACTTGCTTGACTTGTGGCTGCACTGAAACTACGTCTTGCGGAGGTATAGTTTGCAGAAAGTGTCAGTTACACCTGAAAGAAAACAGTTTCCACAGTACCAGAAACTGGTTATTCATTCCAAATACTTCTTAAAACTGAAATCATAGACATGAATATTGTTGATTCGACTTCGTTACAACCGAAGTGTACCGTGCATCACTGTAGTCTGTGTAGCTCACAGCGACGTTTCCATGCAGTGTATTGTCCGGTAATGTCTTTGTGCTGTGTTGGGGGACAGAAGACGGCGATGTTCCTGTCCGGCTGCCCCCTCCCCATCTGGGTGTCGGGACGGGTCTGCATCGTTTACCCTTTGCATCTGTAGGGCTTCCTCGTAGCGAGGCGGTGGAGGTTCGTCGTCCCCAGTCCCCGAGGTTTGCATATCATCAGTGTCGATCTGATCAACACTGTACATCATAGGATTGTCATAAGAGTGACTGTGTGGTAATGGTCTAACACCCCTGGTACGGTTTGCGGACACCGGGCTAGCTGGTGGCCTGTCCGCATTAACGGAATTATTTGTCACGTGACGTGGACTGTCCTGGACGAATGACGGATTGTCGTTAAGACCACCTCGGCTACTTAACCTTGACATTGAGACGGAAGACGCAGACGGTTGCATCGTAATGATGTGATCATCGGGTGTTTCTGGGGTGGGTGGAAGTACTGTGTTACGCATAGCAGGAGCAAATGTGATTGAACTTGTAGGACGCTTTCGCCTCTTTCGTCTCCGTCTCCTTCGGTTTGAGCCGGAATTGTTGATGTCATCGTCCTCATTTCCGGACAGATTATCGTCTGCTCGATTAACCACTCTTGTATTTCCGGTAATCGCCGTACAGCTGTTGTATCTCCGAACGTTCGACAGGACATCACGAGAGAAAAAAGCACGAATGAAGCCACTACTCCTTGAAGGCGGTAATGCGGAGAACGTTAAACTCCTTGGCGTCGCTGATCCTGACGAACTGATATTCCCATTTGCATCGGATGTGAACCTTTGTAAAGACGGCTCGAGAAGCATTGCTTCCGAATAGCTGGGCACAATAGCGTTGTTATTACGTATATTCATCTCTAGGTCTGTGCTGTTCATTGTGCTCACTCTAGATATCGGGTTTGGCTGATTAACTAAATTAGTCCCAAACAACTTGTGAACATGATAATGTAAATGGGCTGTTTTGTATTCAATAATCACACGCAAAGGCCAAGAAAGAAGAAGAAAGGATCCCAGCCAGAATATCACATGGGACACATACCAAGGCAGATTATCTGGGTCAGCGAATGCAATCATGTATTCTTTGAAGTTGACATTGAGTAGATCCATCCCTTCCCTTCCTTCCATGTAGTCGTCTCTGGATTCGTACTCCTGAAAGAACTGAGCTCTCTGATCCTCAAACTCACACTCAGATTCTATAGTTGAAAAAGAGAAGCCTTTTGTGAATCTGATCTTTGTGGCTGGGTATTCTTCTAACCCAACGAGCGACTTTGATATATCCTTCACTCCACAATGGGTAAAATTAAACGCAGACCCTGCGGTACACGAATTCACTCTTTCATAATAAACCTGTGTCGACGTGAAGGCGTCCCCGTTGCGATATCTCGTTACTTGCCGGGTCCTCCTGACGTAGTGGTAACAAATAGCCTTCCACCATATAATGGGAATAGCATCTTTCATCTGCAGGACCTTATCGTACACAGAATTTATATCCACCTTGTACTGGAGCTCTATCCGTGTGTGGCTATGCCAGCACTCCACCAGGTAAACCAGGTACAGCATGATGACGAAGGCCACGGGGATGTAGATGTAGCCGTCGTTGCAGGGGCTGGTCCTGTCGATGTGGCTCCGGCTGAACGAGTAGTACTCCTGTATGACTCGCTTGACGACAGCTAGTCTACACCAGGCTATGGCGGACAGACACCCGTAGATGAGGAGGGTTAGAATGAGACATTTCCAGTGGGCATCTCGGCGGAGGGATCCACAGAAAGACTGCTTGATCGGTCTTTGCTGGAAAGAGAAGACACACATGATAAATCAAGACAAGAACACAACAACCCCCACAAATACAATCTGTTTAAATAGCATCAGATCAATGTCTTATTATACAACGAGTTTATTATTACACAAAACATTTAATACCATTTTCCACCATTCTTATAAGCTGTGGAGCTGGTATGAAAGCTGCACAGAGCACTAGTCTTGGTTAATGGGTACATTCATTGTAAAACCCTTCCTTAATTATCGTTGCGAAATGTTTCCCATTATGAGGTACATGTATACAGTTTCTTAGCTGTTATGTCCCTATGTGTACGCTACTGGATATTATTTGCCCTCCTTCATGTTGTGTCCTGGACTGTTTCACTCTGATACGTGAACCTATGGTCAAACATGGTCCAGAAGCCGTAAACTATATGTACAATTGGACAGACTGCATTCAAAATCCTCTACGTACACAAGGAGTCGCTTTGTTAGGTCGTGTGATTAACAATGCTTTACAGCGCTTAAATATGAGGTTTGGAGAATAACGTAGAATTACGGATGATCTGTCGAGAAAGAATTCAAGATCCTTGGTGAGAAACTTCCAACATTAATTATAAAAAAAGTCATAAAGTAAAGTACAAACACAGGTATATAATATTGACATGCTTCCCGTTTCAAACACATCACCACCCAATGACCATCGTGTATTTGTTTCACCCAAACATGAGTGTATACTTTCGTAAGTACAGCAGTTAAGTGAGTGAGTGAGTGAGTATTGTTTTACACCGCTTTTAGCATTAATAATCCGGCAGTATCGCGGCGGTGGACACCAGAAATGGGTTTCACACAAAATGCCCATGTGGGAAATCGAACCCGGGTCTTCGACGTGACAAACGGACGCTTTAATCATTAGGATACCCCCACCGCCCCCACGGCAGTCCAGATCCTTACCCCTTTGTGTAATACACGTGTGCTATACACCCAGGGAGCGCAGCCCATGTAAGTAGCTATCACACAGTGATGACGACACCACGAGATCCACCCTCTGTCCCGCGGCTTCTAGACCATCACTCCCAACTTACAAACGGAAGCGTATGCCTTGCTCCTAATGTGTCAACATCTAGGAAACGTATTACCTCGATGTTGTCTTCTGACATATCACATAACATGTCATTTGTTCTTATAAAATCAATCTTCATGAAATAGATCTGAGAACGTCCTTGCCTCGGTTTCAACAATGAAGTTATCACGCTCTGGGTGTAGCGTCATAGCGGCCTTTCAAGGCGTATTTCCACATCAAAGACTAAAATCTGTTATCGCCTCATCAAATCTATCAAATTACCAGCAATCGTGTCTGCGACAATAGATAACTTCAATCGAGGCATCAGAAAGTCTTAAAAGGCTACTCAAGTCTCGAAAGAATAAAATTTACCTAAATCAAACCCGACCCAGGAGCATGGCTTTCTTCATAATATCACATCGCCTTCAAAGCTCAGCCCCAAGACCGTCAAAACGAAGAGAGACTGATTTCGTAATGGCAATTCAATAAATAGAAATGAGGAACAACTTTAAGGTTGCTTTATTGCCGAGAAGTGATGAAAATAATCAATGTCCATCTTTGATACCGATGCTTATGATTTATGAGCAGAACGCTCCTTTCCTTCTCATTCCAAAGGAATCGGATTAGCTGGCTTAAAATAAACGTCGATGCATGTCTAAAGTTGTCCAAACGTCAAATAATGATTTCATTGTTTCTTCAACCTTGGCTCAAGCCGCTGAGAGAGCTCGCTCTCTAATTATGCTAACAGCTTATTTTTTAGCTCAGTTCTTGCAAGTTATGTATTATGAAAGCTAATTCCTGCCCTACTTTGAACTCATCATAAAGATGTCTTGCGGTTGAAACCTCTGATAATTCGATTGATTAATTTATGTAATAAAACATTTAAAAGGCAATAATTTAATTTCAAACAATCAAAAGTACAACTTACGGACAAATGGTATGGTTGCAAATGGTATGGTCCCAAGACAGTTAAATGACGTCATTGAAAAGTTAAATTTCATAGCTCTTTAAAGCAGTTTTATAACAAGTAAAAGGTTAAAGTAAAGTGCGTTACTTGACATTTTGACATTCAGGAACGTTCGTCTTTGTAATTTAATAGCCATTTTTTATTGACAAAGGACATTTACCTGTGAAAGACACAAGATGTAGATGTAGGTATTCACATATATGTTTGTAACGAGTCGTGTTCAGGCCTGTAGGTAATATCATTCTCATTTGACATGTGGATTGAGTCGTTCACATCTTATGAAGCCCATGAGGATCCGGGTTAGAACTGGTCTTCAGCAATCCATGTTTGGAGCGACCATCGGGATCGGGTGGTCAGGCTCGCTGACTTGGTTGACACATATCGTCGTATCTCATCTGCGTAGATGGATGCTCATGGTGTCAATCACTGGATTGTCTGGTCCAGACTCGATTACAAACAGACTGCGTCATATAACTGAGTTCGGCATTAACCAACGAACAAACAAATCTTCTGTGTGAAAATGTGTCGTTCGCACCTGGCGTAAAGAGATCATCCTAAGCATACCTGTAGATAGTGTCGGTTATATCAGACCTACCTACAGATAGTCTTGTTCACATCTGACGTATAGATAGTGTCGGTTATATCATACCTACCTACAGATAGTCTTGTTCACATCTGACGTATAGAAAGTGTCGGTTATATCAGACCTACCTACAGATAGTCTTGTTCACATCTGACGTATAGATAGTGTCGGTTATATCATACCTACCTACAGATAGTCTTGTTCACATCTGACGTATAGAAAGTGTCGGTTATATCAGACCTACCTACAGATAGTCTTGTTCACATCTGACGTATAGATAGTGTCGGTTATATCATACCTACCTACAGATAGTCTTGTTCACATCTGACGTATAGAAAGTGTCGGTTATATCAGACCTACCTACAGATAGTCTTGTTCACATCTGACGTATAGATAGTGTCGGTTATATCAGACCTACCTACAGATAGTCTTGTTCACATCGGACGTAAAGATAGCCTTGTTCACAACTGACGTATAGAGGGAGTGAGATCTTCACAGCTGACGTATGGAGAGGGAAGATCACAAATGACATTTTGAGAGGGATGTTTACAACAGACGTTAGAGGTGTTCACAACCCACATAGAGAGGGATTCACAAATGACGTGTACATACACATGTTCACTTACGTTGTATATAAAGTGTCTTATACATCCGACCTGTGGTTAGAGCTGTATACATCGGTCACACAGAGATGTTACAGAGAGTTTATTCTTAAAGATGTTGACACAAAAACTACCTGCTGGGTGATTGATGAAACTTATATCGGGTCTGACAGGGGATGACGGACACCTATGATTATCCATCAGGAATCACGTTTTAACAAATGAACAAGGCTCACCAACGCAATCAAAGAACATGAAAACTGAATCTCTGGTTCGGTAAAAACTGGCTGATCAAAACATTTTTAACAAACGTTGTTAGATCTGCGACAAATTACTGAGTCCAGTTTGTAAGAACCATACGACGGAATATAATTCGCCCACGAGGGAGGTAATTCGCCGATTTGATTTTGCAGAAATTGATTGAAATAGAAAAAAAACCTTTCGTTACCACGCCATAAAATACCAATGTTGTGAAAGTAAATCATTCCCTCTAATTCTCAACTGATGACATTACAGTCTGAAATAGACATAAAATAGCCAATGTCATTAGCCCTCAATCTTCCGATAGAACGGGAAACGCTTTCAAAGAACTCTTTCTCCCTTTCATTTTTGCTTTCCAACTGGTTTGCTTAGGTTTATTGATTAGACGCACGCTGTTAGCGGTCATCGAACGGTAAACGACATTTCATGTTTGTGAACACATAGGTCGGAAAAAGGTTTCTAAATTAACCAACAAATTTTGCATCAATTTGGTTAAAAGGTAAGACAAGGACGTGCTTGTGTCTTTTTTATAAAAAAATATCCACCTACTTCAGAAACAGTATTGATCTTTGCTTGCAATTGTGTATCCTGTTTCATCCAACCCGCATTTACTAAACGGCGACAAATATGTTTTTAGGGTGAATCAGATGCTTGCGAACCGTGTACCTGATGCTTGTGTTAAATGGCAGTGACGTAAAACTACAATTTTGAACTTTTGTGTAAATCAATATGCAATAAACATCAAAGCGGTTCGTATATTTATTCGATTTCCTGACCTGTTAATCTACCCATAGATGTAGGATAGCTCACATACCATTCCCATGAATGTCAACGTCAACAGTACCACTGCATTTGGTTGCAACATTGGATAGTTAAACTATAAAATAATCTCACTATTCTTAAAACAAGAATAGTATACTGATCACATGACCCAAGCCAAATGAAATTATGGAACCCCAGACGTGATGGACTCGTCCTGAAAACGTCCTGTCACGGGAGTGTGACATTTATCAAGCAGTCTATGGAATATCGGTTTCTTGGGTTGACTTGATCTCCCTGGAATTTAATTACTGCCGATGAGGAAGTAATGCAAGCAGTGTGTGGTCTTCACAACCTGCACTACCAGCCTTGGAGAAGTGGGTCATGGAAAAAAGTACATCTCCAGCAAATTAGTCTTCGAACCAGACTAATTTCGAATGATGGAAGGATGAATAATCATTCAAATAATCCCGACACACAACCAGTAGGATAGGAAGTAATTAATGGTCCGGCCAGCGGTTGTTGGAACCGATTGTTTAGTTAGGTGCTATCACGACTAAAGGTTTGTCATTACCGTCACCGAATTCCCTTGAAGTGACGCTTGAACCTACGAATATGGTAACGTGAGACACTCTACCAGGATGTAAAACCGGTTTATCTCCCAAAGGGACGGTTTATAACACCACCGTTAATAAATGGTAGAAATATGACACCACTTGTCTTTAAATCAGTTGCAGTTTCGGGCCAATTCTTTCCAGACCCAGGCTCGATATCCGAGTTATTGCTTTTCTGTGG